TGTTCTGTAGTTAAAGTTAAGTTCTAGATCTAGGCAAGATTAAGAACATTGCTGTAGTACTTAGTTTCATGACTGAACTATGTTGATATATGAGATTTTCCATCAAGTGATCTGTGTTCTTTTGTGGGGATGCAGATGATTATAAACTGTTAGTGTAAATGAGTAAGGGTTTTTTGTAGCAATCCAAACAACCGTAGTGGTTAAACATTCCTTTTTTGTATTCATTACTGTTTATCTGGTATAATTATTTTGTTTGTTGCCTGGATGGGTGAAATTCTTATATTTGTTCTAAAGTCTTATTCTTAAACTTGTGGAAGAGTGAAGTAATTCAGATCACAGATCATCCCCTCTCGCTCAGAACATGGGCACACTGATACACCTTGCCATGCATTGTTTTCCACACTACATAAATGCTAGAGCATAAATCTCATTCACTCCCTGTATGATTCATCACCTGTGGTGGTAAAAACCTGAAATGAAAGGCAGTGATAATGTCAACACCTACATGGAAGTTGTGCAGCACAGTCCTATCCATCCTTACATAGTATATTAACTGTTTATTAGTCCATTCCACCTGCTTTGTATTTGGGGGGGAAAGTCCTTACTGTGTTTAATAGACCTAGTCCTAGGTAAACAGCCCCCCCCCAAAAAATATCAAAGAGTGAAGCTCATCTTCAGTGGTTACTTGGAGCAGAAATAACTCTTTTTTCATGTCTTAAATAAACCACACTTACAAAGTTGTTGTTTTAGCCTGTCCTTTAGAGCAGGTGGTTTCTGCGTACTACGGATCCTTTTAAGGAGAAAGGCAAGGTAAAAATATGTACGTACATACATACATACATACATACATACATACATAGTGCCTTTGATGTACTGCTCGATAATACATAGAAAGATACTCCAAGATCAGATATGTTCCACTAAAAGCTGATCTGATCTAAAGAATAAGGGTCCCCCCCCCCGAAAAACGTCATTTAAGATTTCAAAATTGCCATTGTATATATTGTCCAGTTGAGCAGAAGACAAAGAGAGCTGATGCTTTCTGAAGGTGGTGAGAGAGTAACCCCAAAAGGAAAAAAAATGCCATTCGTTCCTGTGAAAGAGATGACATGGAAATGTTTTGCAGCCAGAACTGTAGGGTGACTAAAGCTGCCATGTAATCTGTTATCACAAATTTGAACAATCTACATTATATCCATTTTGAATATCTAACTGGGTAATTTTTGAACAGATAAGTCAGTTTTTCAGTTTAGCTTATGTTACACTGTGTACTTGGTTGAACTGCTGACATAAAGGCTTGTTACCATGTTACGTAGCAAAGTACGTACTGTATTAGATCCTGAATGATGGGACTTGATGTTGAAAGCAGGATTCAAGCTATTTTCCACAAATCGTTCTTTAAAATGCAAGTTTGTTCTCTGCAAAGGGAAGAGGCTATTTATCTTCATCTGCTTCTGCTGGTTTATCAGTTTAACCAAGTCTTACTCAGCTTCCTTCTGCGAAATGAAGATGCGATATATCTTCATCTGCTTCTCATAAATTTATCATTTTATCCAACTTCTGTTGGGTATCCAATTCTTCCTTATTTTTTTTTTAACCAAATTATTTACCCTTAATCTTTTATGCACATTCTTATAATCTTAACATCAGAGTATTCAATTTCAACAGCTTGTTTAGTGTTTGTGTCATTTCTGCCAACTATCAATAGGACTCCATTCTCTTAATGTCAGAAAATTGTATAGTGCTTGATCACAGTTATAGAAATCAGGATATGGGGCTGCGGGGAGATTTCTGTCCCCTTTTAGCAGCAGCGTATTGAGAAGAAGGAGGGAGAACCTAGTACTTGTACCTTTTTCCCCTGAATCAAAAGCATATAGAATATTTACGATTTAAAAAAAAATACATTATTGGTTTAATATTAAACTTTAGTTCCTTTAAAACTTCTGAAAAGGAAAGAAATATGGAACTAAAAATAAATTGAAAATAAATATGCTAATGATTGGAAATATAATTTGATCATTAGGCTGGCAGTAGCTTTTCCAAAAGTCGGGTGTTTAGTTAAATGTTGAATGGTTGCATCCTGGGTGAATAGTAGTGCTTCTGTCCTGAATACACCCTATTCAGATAGTGGCATGCTAACTACCGTAGGCTTATTGCTATACCACTTTTTGGGGAACAGGTGGCAATCACATCTGTGTTTCCCTGCTATTGATGTCATAACATTTAGTCCTCAGGTCATAGCTCCAAGATTTTGACTTATGAGGCAACTCTCTTATAGGGTTCTAAGAATGTTTTGATTTAGTGAGGATAATAAATGCAGTTTCTGTTTTAGGCTAATGATAATATTAACCATTATATCTTCATACAGTACCATTATACCTATACAGTAACAGTAGAAACTAAGAATGCTATGAATGTGGAAAGACTTAGTAGACTAGGTACATGAAATAGAGGCAAATCTTCACTGGCACAGTATCTTACAGTACTTCAGTTCTAATGTGTTTGGTTTGTATGCCTGGATACTGGAGAATTTAAAGTATCAGGTAGTCCAAAGTAAAGGATGGTCAGGTTCGTGCAGAAGATCTTTGTAGCTAATCTTATGCCAGTCTTCGCTTGCATATCCAAGGAAATTGCACACAATTTCCTTGGAAACAAAAGCCAACCATATTTGCTGGTTATGGAGAACAAGGCTTGACTCCCTCTGGACACTGCTTACTCTAGCACCACAAACATAATTTGCTTTCTTCAGTTACTGCAGCTGTTAAGCTTGTGGTACTTTAATCCTCTGATGAAGTATGCTGGACGCAAGTAAATCTAATTATAAGTAATTGGGTATACACTTCAAACTTGGTTTTAACCTATGTGAGAATTGCAGCATTTATGGGTTTCAGTAATAAGAGGGCTGACCCAAGATATTTTGTACTTAGACAGAGTCAGTGGTGCTCCCTCTGGTCAAGATAAATTGTACCCTAAACCAAAGAGTTTGGCATGTGAAGTAGACAGTCCAACAACACTGCGAGGAAAGTGCTTTCCCCCTCCAGTTTCCTCGCAAGAAAGTGCTTTCTTCACAAAAAGTGGAGGGGGAAAGCAGGGATCGAAGCACTTTGATCCCTCCCCCTCCTTACTTCTTTGTATAAGACAACACTAAATTTTTTATCTAAACATTTTAGAGAAAAGTATTGTCTTATACACGGAAAAAATGCAGTAATTGACAACCAGTAAAGAAACCACTTGTTTTTCAATAGTTTTGTTACTCTTGCACTAGATCAGTGGTTCTTAACCTTTGTTACTCGGATGCTTTTGAACTGCAACTCCCAGAAACCCCAGTCAGAACAGCTGGTGGTGAAGGCTTCTGGGAGTTGCAGTCCATAACTCCTGAGTAACCCAAGGTTAAGAACCAGTGCACTAGATTAAATTATTTACTTCTTAGTTCCTAATAGAGAACTGTGTTTAGATGAAATGTGAAGGGTGCCATAGGAAGAGATTGCTGATACGTGATTATTAAATTGCAGTTGTTTGTTGTTGCAAAGTAAATTGTTTGCTTAGAAGATTGAACAATGAAAAGCTATTTTAACAGTAGTCTTAACTATCGGGCAGTTATTGTTTCGGATGCTTGTAAAGCTACCATTACAGAACTATTTCCATTACAGGATTTCTTCCCAAGGAGGGAACAAAACATGTTCATTCTACAATGCCACCACTTACGCATTGTGAAATAGTCAATGCCAAGTATATGTTGGGGTTGATTAAATGCTTAAACTACTCAATTTTCCAGAAATATTATTTAATTGAGCCTAAATGCACAGCTACTTTTAAGATAACAGTCCTCCTTCCCCTCTCCTCCTGCAGCCTTTTAGAACAGTTTTCAAAGTGAAACTGGAGGATTTTCTTGTCTTCCAGAATAACTTTTATTTGGTTGTGGAACTTCAGTGGAAACAGGAGATGAGCCCATCCAAATTCTAATTAACAGAAACAAGTCCATGCACAAAGATCCAACATGTAGAATGTTTGATCTTGACTGTAACTATTTACAGCGAACTGTATATTCTGTCTTTCAGATTTTTATATAGCACCCAGTGTGGCTAGCAATAAAGAAAACCAATCATAAAATATAGCATGATGAAACAGTAATTGTTAACTGAAAGATAATTTTATAAATATTGTAAATACTTCTGAGGTTTGACAGTAAAGAACACAAAATGTAAAATTAAGAGTTAATTAAATCAGTCAACATTAATGCTTTAGATTTTAAAAAAATACTGGAATCACATTTCCATATTCATATCCTACAGTAGCCAGATACCTGTTAATTTTGCCTGCCAGTGCACTTTGGCATAAATTTTAGTAGCATGTTGTGACAAGTTAAGATGTCAATGTGGCATTTGCTGTTGTATGCCAAATCATGCAATTCAGTGTGCAACAATAGATTACTACACTGACTTCTAAACACTTGGGAATTCACTGCTGAGGTTTATGCTGATCGAATTATATGTAATAGGATTCCTTTTTTAAAAAAAATTATTTAAAAAACCCTACTACTACAGAAAAAAACCTATATAAAATACAAAACAAAACAATACAATAACATACAATTACCTTGTGCACCCATCACCTTCAGGACTAGTATTGCACTTCTTTCCATCCATTTTCACTCCAAAATTTCATTGTTTCTTCTCTCGGTGTATAGCCCCTCCCTCTCCGAAATACATGTTCTAAAAATACATTCCATATTTTCTTAAAATCGTATGTAATAGGATTCCTGCCTATATCTGCATCTCCTTGACCTGATTCTGTGCAGATTCTTCCGTGGGTTATTGTTTGAATTGATATGGTTCACCCAGGTATAAGCAATGCCTCGTTCAGTGCTGCAAATGAAAAAAGGAGGAATTCCTGTGCCTAGCTTGAGTACCAGGCCCATACTGTTGTTACATTCTGTGTGTTTTGAGATCTCTTGCAATGCTGCAACCTTAATCTTTTTTTGTCTCTTCTGCTTTTAACAGGATTTTGTTTGACAGCATACCTACAGCATTCCCATAAAACATGGATGAATTGCAGGATGTCCAGTTGACAGAGATCAAGCCCCTTCTGAATGATAAGGTAAATTTCTCTGGCCATCTTCCAACGTTCACAACACTAGCAATTCTGTATTGTTTGTTAGGTATGTGTAAGTCCTGTTCTGAATAGACACCTGGCACCTTGACAGATCATCATAGCAGCTTCCACAGTTGGAGCTCCCATGTGAGTAATTCTTCACCAGGATACTTCCCAAAGACTCTTTCTATCATCTTAAAAACTTAACAGAAGTATGTGTAAAGGTTTGTGAAGTAGAGTCTACTTCTTCAGTACATGAACAGCATTATATAATTCCTGTTTTCCATCCATTGCAAAAAGCTAAGCTGAAGTAATGGGATGGACCTGAACTTCAGCATTACCAGCTCTAATTTTGAAGACACTGATGTTGTTTAAAGTTTAGATCTGTTGTCCTTCTGCAAGTATGCATGCATGTGTGTGAATAATTATTAATTTGTCTAAAGTGAGATCAGTATTTCTACCTATATATGCAAAGCTCCATCTTAATTTCATGGTTTCTCCTTGTTAAGCTATAATGTGCCTCAAACACCTATGAGTAGAGATGTGGGTAGTCGTATATGAATACCCCCACACAGCTGTAGTGAATGCGGGCCCGGCGCCTGGGGCTGGACCATCTGCTACTGCCACCAGCTCCGTGCTCCCTTCCAGTCGCTCCTGAGCTCGCAGTCGACTAGCCACTCGTCAGCCTGGCAGGGAGGTTCATCTTCCCTCCTTTTGCCAGGAGTGCTTGTCAACCGCGAGCTCTGGAGCGATTGGAAGGGAGCATGGAACCAGCTGCAGCAGCGGGTAAGTGAGTGGATGGTCCCTCCTGGGGAACTGGACCCTCGTTATGTCCACCTGTGCATCTCTGCCTATGAGTCTTCCATGTGTTTCATGTGTAACTAATCTGTAGATGTCTAGGGATTGAATGTGAGAGCTTTGCTGTGCACGATCTTTCCCACTGATTGCCCACCTCTCCAAGTCATGAAATACACACAGTGTTAAAACCATTGAAATACATTTGAAGATTGTTTCAAATTGTATTAAAAATTAGCAGTTGCCTATATGTTTGGAAGTGTTGACTATGTTCGAGGATGATGATAAAGACCATTTATATTTTAATTTGCACATTTATTTTCTTTGCTATATTTATATTATCTTTCACTTCAGTGAGTTGAAGGTGATAGACATGACTTCTCCCAAATTATCATTTATCGTTAATATATATTAATAGTATCCTTAATATATATTAATAATGCTTTTTTGTCATTAAACTATTATGTTAATAATGGATAACATTAATAAATCGTAACGGTCCTACAATGTAGGTCAGACTAAGAGAGTATAACAGGCCCAAGGTTGCTCAGTCCACTTCATGTTTGAATGGGGTTTGAACCCACAATTCTGAGTCTTACTCAAACCACATCAGCTGATTAGAGAATTTTAATGTTTAAGATGCTGCAACATTTTTGTGGAGAGGATGCCATAAAACACTAGCATGACTAGTTATGCTAGACATTACTGTGCATTCCTGGGGTCTGTAAGTGTCTGAACATGCACAATTGTTGCATTGGTTCCTCTTCTTTTCTTCACAGCTCATATATACAAGTTGGTTAGGTAGACTGGTTTCTGGCTTCAGCAGCTGGAGGAAGTTGTTTTTTTAATTGTTCATATACATTCTGTACACTTTTTTGTAATGTTTACTATATAGTTTTCAAGTATTTCAGCAAAGTTCATGAAACTGTTCTGGAATCTGGGCTGTTGATTGCCTTCTGTTCTTATTTTGACAGAATTCAGCTGGGAACTTCCAAGACTTTGATTGTCAGGTAAGGACATGAAGACAGAATGTGTATATGTTTCTGATCTTTTATTGAAAAATGACATTGGATATAGACATTAATACTCTGGGAAAATAAAAAGAGAGCTAAAAGGAAGTCTGTGCCATTGGCTTTCATATACTTACAGTGACTTTTCTCTAAGCTGAAAAACATGTGTCTTTCTGCTTCCAGATTAGAAATGCTAGGATTTGAAGCTTTTTTCTTTTGAGCATCTTAAGCCATTGAAGTTGTTGCAGCCAATGTATTAATAATCAGTTCACAGCTTGATACTCTACCTTATTTTTTGTCACATTTGCTGCAGAATTGGAAAATGCTGCTCTGTTTGTGATTCACACTGATATCTACAGTTTACGTTGCCAATAAATTGTTAGATCTGGATGGTAGCAAGAGACAGAGTTACTACAACATAAACCCAAACAAGTGTCTTAACAAGAAAATTAAAATTCTCACTGTGGTTTAGATGCTTGGTAGATGCATTGCATATAAATTGCAAAGTAAAATTGTGACATGAAGAGAGCACAGACCAGGTGATGTTTGCCACTTTTTTCTTTTAATAGTGCAGACAGGATGAACAGTGAGGTTGTGTCCATAGCAACCACTGAACAGGATGTTCCATGCTGTAGCTTTATTCATTTTATCTCTTTTTAACATTGAGCTATGAAGCTGCCTTTGTATGTAGATAAAGCTTCTTTTGTCTTCCTGAGAACCCTTGCAAGATATACATGACAACTTCTTAGAGCAGCCTGCCTCATTTATTGATTCTACATATAGCATGCATAGCTGGTAGAAGTTATGAGCAGTTGAGGAAGGGTATTGTGAGTAAGAGCAAGGTTTAATGCATTCTTTGTCTCCAGCTGCTTTTGGCTAGGACCTTTTTGATAAGCCATGGACAAATTCTAATATATCCTATTGGAAAAATGAATGTGCATGCTCTTAATTTGTTGTTAAGTCAAAAATAATGTTTATATCATGATCTTAACATGACTGATTTTGACATTTTAATCCAGGGGTGGCCAATTAATTTCTGTGGGGGGGGGGACATGAAAAATCTGAACTGTGTTCGGGGGCCGAACCAACTTTACTTAAAAATAAAATGAAACAGTGATGTAATTATCTTATTTTAAACTTGTTAATCTTCACAAATACTAAAGAGGTTTTTCGCAGTATGTTAAAGATAAGCAACTGATCAACTTTAGACAAAAAGCTATAAATGGTTTTGACGTTCAAAACTGTCCGCGGGCCGGACGGGAGTGGCTAGCAGGCCGTATGTGGCCCTCGGGGCACACTTTGCCCAGGTCTGCTTTAATTGGTCTGGCACTTCATTTTTGAAGTGAATATAAGCATAACAAGGCTTCAGCAAACACACAGAAGGTTTCTGAGGCTAGATGAAGTGCACAGAGAAAGGAAGACTCATATTTCCTGTCATTTTCAATGTATTTCTCCTTACAGTAATTAGAGATGGGGAAGAAAATGTTCCAGTTCCTCATACAAGTATCAGTTTCCCATCTGCAGAGAATGACAGCAGAACAGAAAGCATATTGACTTAGAATTCTATAAATCAATGAGGTTTGCAGTATTTGGGAAGGGCCATGCATGTAGAACCACGTGTATATTTCAGAAATATTCACAACCTATATTGGAACCAATATGTTCCAATTTCTGTATGAAAGAACTGAGTGTCACAGTTGGTTGCACAAATGGAACATAACAAGAATGCTGGTTGGAAAATGAGAAGCTCAGTGACAGAAGCTGACAGGTGTCCATAACCATTTGTAAGGCAGATCAAGAAATAAGCATCTAGCCTGTGTTGGATGGGGTTAGAAACCTCTCTTTGTGGGCTCTTCATGTATATGAAAAGAATTTCAGGCGTCAGTACTGCTTTGCAGTAAATGCTCAGTAAAATAATAACCTCCACATTTAGATTTTTTAAAAAAGTTGAAGGGAATATTGCTGGCAGCTGAGCCAGTTGGTACACAAAAAGCTGCATAAAGCAGAATCTGGCTAATCCCATTCCCAATATGTCAGTAGTCACATCAAGAATTTGAAAAGAAATTTAAGTACCGTAGCACCAAAACCCCAGGCAACAATGTCTTCTGCATATTACAGGAGAATACTTGTTCAAATTTTCTTTAAAACAGCTGTTTATCTTAATCTGCTGGTGTTGCTTCAGAACATACATGTTCAGTGTATACAGCAGGAGGAAGTGCCAAAAGATTGTCTGTGCATGCTGAACTGACTATGACAATGCCACACAGGATATTATTTAGAAGGTGATTTAGGCACTAACTGTATGGAAGATACAATTCTGGATGCAATCATGCCTAAATGGGAGAGCATGTTGCAACTATGTGCATGCTACTATGGAAAAAAGATATTATATATAAAAAAATTAAACATACAGTATATATGGGGTGGCAGAATTTATGGAAGAAAGATTTTTAAAAAATTATACTAACTATACAGAAGATGTATATATACTGATCTATACTGTACTAGAGGGGTGTAAGGAATTAAGATGAGTGAGCATCAGCAGAGAATTCAAAAACCTTTTTTCCATATACAGTGGACCTCCACAAGATGCATCCACATTTTTTGCTGAAACTAAAATTGAACAGAAGGTAATTTCTATTTTTCAGAAAACACTGTTTCTGGGTCAAAACAAACAAAATTTCATCAGCCAATACATTTTTCATATGACAGTTTCACTCACCAAAATGACAATTTGACCTGTCCATTAAGGTGTTCATATAATGTAGTGGCACTGTGAGTTAAACCGCAGAAGCCTCTGTGATGCAGTGTCAGTAGGCCAGCAGTCGTAAGATCGAATCCATGTGATGGAGTGAGCTCCCGTCGCTTGTCCCAGCTCCTGCCAACCTAGCAGTTCGAAAACATGCAAATGCAAGTAGATAAATAGGTACCACTTCAGTGGGAAGGTAACGGCGTTCCGTGTCTAGTCGCGCTGGCCACGTGAACATGGAAACTATCACAGCTCTATGGCTTGGAAATGGGGATGAGCACTGCACCCTACAGTCGGAGACAACTGGACTAAATGTCAAGGGGAACCTTTATCTTACCTATAACATCAAAGGCTAAACAGCAATCACTAAAACAAATCCAGTTCCATTTTGCTGAAACTGAAAAGCATTGAGCCACTTCTTGGATTTTGAAGAATCACTCAGCAGACTGCTGGTATCAGAAAGCCAGTTTTTGTGTGTATGTGATGGTGGGTTCTAGGTGTCATACAAAAAGCCTTGGTGGGCCACATGTTGCTGTTATCCACACAATTTCCAACCAAGATTAAGACCATACAAGACCAATGGGATCCTTTCGTTAATCTGGGCATCAAGACAGTATTGAACTCAGTCTGGAAATGTCTTACGGTTCAAGATGCCATCCAGGGTAATCTGTCAGTGTGGATATCCATTTATAATGAGGACAAATACTAGTGACTCATGGGTATATTTTTTCTGGATGCAACATTAAGCTTCTCTGTTTTGGAAAGACCATCATAGATGGAAAGAATCAGGTTGTGTCTGACTATTCTCTCTCTATTCACCTTTTGAAACTAGCAGAGACATGTAGTCCTGCTACAAAGTGGAGGAGAAGTAGCTGAATGAACATGTCCTATCAGAGCCCTATTCAGACATTTTTTTTCTGACCTTGGCGAAGAAACTGACTGGCATTACCATTAGAGGATCAAGGTCCTTTGATGAAGACTTTAATTAAAATATTTATTTCCATTTAAGTTATGCATAGATAGCGCTTGCTTCCTTTCCTTGCTTCCTTTCCTTCCTTTTTACAGTCTAGAACATATTTATCTTCTAATGACAAATCAGTGTTGCCATGTTTATACAGCATTATTCCAGTTATCTCAAACAAAAAGTAGATTGTGCTAATTTTTATGATATTGCAAGTGAATCCTGGAACAGTAGTTTCTCTTGTAATGTAATAGTACATAATTAGAGGGGGCTGCAAATCTCCATCTGCCAGATAAAATTTGAGGAGAAAAATGTCCATACACTTGGGAGTTTAATTTACGTTTTTTGGGTATGGAAATAACCATGTGTCAGCCCCCTCAGTGCAAATATTATACTCTACGAACCCAAATAAAATCCTCCCCCACAGGCACCACCCTATGCACCATCCCCTCCCAGGTTTTCCTCCTTCACCTTTTTTCACCTCTTGTCTTCCTCCTCCATGACTCAGATGGGGTGCTGCTTGCCCCACCTGGAAGAGCCAGAGATTCAGGTGGAGTGAAAGGCACCAATGCTGCAGTGCTAACTACTTTTCAGTCCTGCTGTCATGTTGAATGTCAACATGCACCCACATACTTACCCTATTTCGCCCACTTTAAGCTGGGCTGACGTCAGTCCTCCAAAGGTAGATGTGGAGGATCAGAGATGTGGGAAAGCAGAGAGAAATGAGCAAGAGCAGCTCTTTCAGAGGGTGTAGTAATGATGTACATGCATAAAAGTAAGAACTACCCAAAGGGGTAGAGAAATAACTAAGAACTGTAGGTTGCCTGCAATTCCGGTTCAGATTAAAATTATCTATCTGTGGGCCAAGAGCATTAAAATACATAAAATAGCATCATGTATACAGATTTAATATAATTAATATAAAAACAATTGCAACTAAAAATAACCATGGTGACTCCCCAGAAAACACTTTACCAACCCCGTTAGGGTCTTAGGTTGGGAACCCATGGTATTTCTCTCTTCCCCCCCCCCCGGGGTCCACCAGCTATTCCTTCCCAACAGGGCGTTCCATCCTGTTTAAATTTTCAAGCTTACTCTGCATTTTGCAGTTACTGAGCATGTTTAAGCTTGAGTGCATTATTCAACATGGGGTCCACCACCCCCTAAAGTATTTTTAAAGATGTTTTGTACTTCTGCAAATTTTCACAAGTACTGTATGTTGTAACCGCCCATTTGTTTCTCAGTAACCCATTTGGATTATAGTTCTGGTATACCACCTGAGTTTCTGTT